TTTTTTTTTTTTTTTTTTTTTTTTTTGCGTAAATGAATGAATGAACAAGAATGCAACACAAAATCTAGCCTTTTGTTGGTATCTCACCGTCCAGTAAGTAAAGAATCTTGGGTAATTGTCTCCGTACAGTTCTGGACTAACCTGCGGATCCAAAATTTCAAAACCATCGGTATCAATCCTTTAAATGGAAAAAGAGCATAGTATGGCACTTTAGTCACATGCTTTGTCGGCCCAATCTTTAGCTAACTGAGATAAAGACAAAGTAAGATGAGGGAGGGAGAAGTTAAGGACTTAAGACACAGACATACCTGCCAACCGGCTTCGATGGTGTTGAGATCGTCGCCGAAAGAGCCGGAGATGACCCACATTTGCGATAAGCTGAATTCATACTGATCGGCGACTCGAGGTGCCCACACATTGATGCTTGCCTTTGCACCGAAGTAGTGATTGCCGGTCACATACCCCACAGCGTGCTGGAAAAAGAACCAAAAGTTGAAAAAGAACAAAGGACATTTGTCAGAGAAAGAACGAGAGTTTGATGTGTTCAAAGATGAAGAAATTGACAAGGATTCTTTTAATTTTGTTGGAAATCGTACCTCATGCCCGTCGCTGCTTGTTTCTCTCCTAACCCATCTTCTTACTTTTCTTCCAAACATCTGAAAAGAGGTAGCTCTGAGTATGTCTTCCTCCGTTGTTCTTCTTATTGGAACTGTTCCTTCCGGGCAAGTTTCCCCATTCATGCTCCATAATTGGAAGCTTCCTATCTCCGTCCTAGGCGGCTTATGTCCTTCTGGTCTCTCTGGTGGATCCTGCAAATTTAGACACAACATTACATTCACATTCACTTTCCTTTCAAGGCTGAACCAGTTGAACTTTGAATTTGGGTGGCAATGGAAGTAAGCGGTTACCAAGGGTTTTTGGGCCTTCAAGTTCGGATGGTCAAATGCTGGTTGGTGGTGAGATAAAACACAATCAATGAGATCCCCGTCAGGACTCTGCATTCCCAAAACAAAAACGTCCTGTTCTTTTAGTGAACAGAGGAGGAAGTGAAACAGAGTAGTGTATTAAGTTATTAGTAACCTGAATTGTGTGGACAGCAGGCTTGTTGACCTTATCCAGATGAGCTCTTATCATCTTCAACTTGTTCAATTCCTGTTGGGGATGGAAAGTCTGGTTGGTGGCAGGAATATGAGACGAGTATACCGGAGTTATTGTGAAAGAAAGAAGAAGCAAAAGCAGCGGCACAAGAATGGCAATGGTCTGGGGAGTGTTGAAGAAGCAGGCGGAGGCCATGCTTGGGCGGAGTGTTAAGTGTTGGAAGGGTGTTTCATGTCCAACGAAATGCAGGGCCCAGCATTGTTGTTGAGAGAAGGCCAAAGGATGATCCTTCAAGCATAGTGAAAGATATGGGAGAGGTTGTTTGGTTTATGAGGAGGAGGCGTTGGGGAAGGGGTTGGAAGAAAGTGGTTTAATAAGGGAGATTAGAAAAAGGGATGAAATTAAGTAGTTGGCTGGGGTAGTGATGGAAATCATGCTGGATTCTCCCTTCTTTTCTTTTTTTTTCTTCTTTTACTTTGAACAGAGAGAGGGTATGTGTGTTCCCAGTCTCCAGTACAAGGCCTGGAACTTTAGCTTTCTTGTGCGTAAGATGATTAATATGTGTTGTTGTTATTCCTTACTTTGGTTCTGAGGGCAGAAGGGAATTGCACTCCCATTCTGTGGTCTCCAAAGTTGATGTTCTTTCTGTCACCACCTTCTTTACTAACCAACTATATCTCAATCCATTTATTTGGGAGCAACAAAAACGACGGTGTGTGTTCGGACTGTAAGTTGGTGTCAGAATTGTCCCAAATGAGTAATGTATGTATGTATGTATGCATGTGTGTCAGGTTTATGTTTCGGGGACAACGTTGGATATGGATGGAACATTCATAAAAAGCATAGGGAAGAGGATAGAAAAGAGAGAGAATTAAAAGAAAAGAAACGGCAGAAGGGGAAAAACCAGGCCACTTCTGCATGCTCCATCCCCACCTTTTCTTATTCATGAAAACTAGAATTTAAAAGAAAAAAACTAGAACACAAGGCGCACACAATTCCAAACAAATGTTTCAGCCAACGCCAATCAAACTAGACAAGTACAAACAGTTGGTGGCCATTTGGCGGAGTGTAAGGTTTGTTCGGGTTACGGGAGAAGTGCCGCCTCTCTCGACCACGGCATCGTCGCAGGTGACGTAGCCGGTCAAAGCTGCAGAGAGGTTGATGTTGAGGGTAGGTTTGTCTCCGGTTTTGAGGGTTGAAAGGCAAGTCTTGAGGTTGCGGAAGGCGTCTTGGTAAGTCTCGGAGCATACCTCCACGCCCGGTGACTTCCTCAGCCTCTTGGCTGTAGTCCTCGCCATTTTTGTTTGCAACATCAACTGCCTGATCGCGGATTCTAAGGCTACAGATGGCTTACTCACACCCTTCACCACAGATCGACACAAAACCGGGTAGTCTGCCTTTCCGCACAGGTCTCCCATATTCGGATCCAGATTCAGACTCAGAAGCTCTCGCCCCTGCCCCTGCCCGCCCTCCCACATACCCGCCATGGCTACCAACAACAAGCAACCACACCAAAAATGGCTTCGGAAACTCATTCTTTTGATTATTTTATTATTATTATTTTTTATCTTAAAAAGCAAAAGACAAGCTCAGTCCCTGCAATCCGAGGCGTGAGTGCGTGTGTGTGTCTGCGCCTGGATTCCAAGACACAGGGAGGTGGTATTTCTTGAATTGAAAAGATGGGTTTGCATTGTTGATCACAGAACCGTATTATTATATACTGAATTTGATTGGTCTAAAACTGTAACAGATAGTTTGGTTTCGTGAGTCTTACCCTTCAGTGTAGCGATTGCTTGGCATCCCATGCGTTGCGTATGCACTTCCTATCCCAACCAACCGCTTCTGTATGGTACACTCCTTTTTTCTCGGTTTTACCAATTAAAATTATGTATAACCATTTTTTGATGTGCATGTTATAGTTTTGGTTTAGTTGTAGCAATTGCAATAGGATAATTGTAGAATGATTTTTGCAATATCTTGAAGTGGAAAAAGTGTTGTAACATAGAAATAGTTCTTATAGTTTAACTAAAAAGGTTGAATTTAACCCCAGTCGGCCCATCACCTCACAGTCTTTTTTGTTTGAAGTTTTGAGTATGAGTTTATATGTGGAATTGGGTTTGAAATAGTAACATCCAAGTTGGTATAAACGCATATTCACTCCAATAATTGTTTTTGGGGGAGCTCTGAAATCACCCTATTTGCACATCTCTGGTACTCTTCTTCTTCTTTTTTTTCTCTCTTTATATTTATGAAATTTCGCCATTTCCATCATTTTCTACTCATCATTTGTATTATTACTCCTTTGAATGCTCCATCGGTGGTGGGTTTGTGTTTCCATTAGCCTGCGCATCCAACTTTTAACTCAACAATTTTTTAATCATTTCTTTTTTGTTTATATTGCTCTTCCTTCTATGAATCTTGTGTTAGTCTTGAACGATATTTTGGAGGAGGAAGAATGAAGGGAATTATGGAGTATTGGTCCAACCCACCACTACTGCCCCACTAAGACTTGGAGGTGAAGCCACAATTAAGTGGTTGATTCAATGATCACAATTCCTTAATATCCTCTTTTTTTTTCTTTTTTTTTTTTTATTGCGCACAACGCGTCTCCTTTTAATCACATAATCCTTTTCTTTTCTTTTTTTCTTCCCTTTATTTTTATTGTGTTTGGTTTTTTTCTTTTTTAAATACTGTTTTTTTTTCCACTCTGAAAAGAGAATCTATTGACTTGAAACCGAGTTGAGTTGACTTCCACAGAACACCGTGAAGAACAGAAAAGAATGAATATTTGGAACCAAACAAATTAGGTGACACATAAGACAGACTTCATGTTTGGTTTCTTTTCCATTTTGAAGTGCTCACATGATATGAATATGGGCGTCTCTTCCCTTATACATGTACTATATAATTCTCACGTTTCTTTATCTCTTCTTGCTGCATATACAATACTTCCCTTGAATTCGTAGCACACACACAAAAGGAAGCTGCCAATGAACACTGCATCGCCACTTCTTCCCACATATGGCTTCTTCATCATTTTCATCACCGCTCTTTTCTTGCTTCAGTCCACGTCCACACTGGCTAACCCCAGATCCCAAACGGTGAACATACTTTGTTCCACCGTGATAGAGCATAATACAACGGCTTTTGTGCCAAACTTCGTTGCCACCATGCAAATAATCAGCGATCAAATGCGAACTGGTGGTTTTGGAGTGGCACTGGCAGGGAAAGGGCCGGACGCCAACTACGGCCTCGCTCAATGTTACGGAGATTTGTCGCTGATGGATTGTGTGTTATGTTATGCCGAAGCTCGTACTGTCCTGCCTCAGTGCTTTCCTTTCAATGGTGGCCGAATTTTCCTGGATGGCTGCTTCATGAGGGCTGAGAACTACAGCTTTTATAACGAATACAAGGGGCCTCTGGACAGGGCTGTGTGCGGCAACACCTCCATTACTACCAACTCCCTTTTTGGGCAGTCGGCCAGGCAGGCTGTGGGCCGAGCAGTTGACATTGCACCCAACAATGGAGGGTATGCCAGAGTTGAAGTGCCTGTCCCTGGAACCTCCAATCTCTCGGTCTACCTGTTGGCTCAGTGCTGGAAGAATTTGAAACGCAGCTCCTGCACTTCCTGTTTGCAAAACGCCTCTGCTTCTATCCTCAAATGCTTGCCTCACTCCGAAGCAAGGGCCCTCAACACTGGCTGCTTCATCAGATACTCTAGCGTTGACTTCCTAAATAGGGAAGCTCGAGCTGCAAGGTTCAGAGGTATGAATGAAAATTGGTGTTGTATTATACGCCACCACTACTAGCTTCTTGCTTGAATTTACTATGGACGATCTCTGCAGGTAACATTATAGCAATTGTAATCTCAGTGGTAAGCTCGATTGCTGTTTTGGTCGCTGGTGTGGTGATTGGAATCTACATCTGGAATAACAGATATGTAAAGATGAAACGAAAAGGTATATTTAAAACAGCGCTTTTGTACTTGTTGAAAATAAGTTCTTCTTTTCTACTTGATGTTCACTTGATTGCCATATGTATTGAAAGGTTCAAATGATGCAAACAAGATGGTGAAAACACTCAACAATAGCAGCTTGAATTTCAAGTACTCTACCCTTGAAAAGTCAACAGAATGTTTTGCTGAGGCTAACATGCTTGGACAAGGAGGATTTGGCACTGTTTATAAGGCCAGTCTTCTTATTGTTACCTTCAAACATGCAATTAGCTTAATAAGCTCAAACACTGAGATCTCACCATCCCTTCCTTCCTCTTCTGTCTATGTTGATGCAGGGAGTTCTGTCGGACGGAAGAGAGATAGCTGTGAAGAGGCTTTTCTTCAATAACAAACATAGAGCAGCAGACTTCTACAATGAAGTGAACATAATTAGTAGTGTGGAGCACAAAAATTTAGTAAGGTTGCTTGGCTGTAGTTGTTCTGGACCTGAAAGTCTGCTCGTCTATGAATTCCTTCCCAACAAGAGCCTCGACCGCTTCATTTTTGGTAAACGCTGACATGTTCATTTCATTAAACATCCACTTGAACCATTGTTTATAAACACCTCTTCTCATTAGTTTCAAAACCATACAGATCGAGACAGAGGCAGATCACTCAATTGGGAGAAGAGATTTGATATTATCGTGGGAACAGTTGAAGGTTTGGCTTACCTGCACGAGAACTCGAAAACCAAGATCATTCACCGAGACATCAAGGCTAGTAACATCTTGCTTGACTCAAAGTTCCGAGCTAAAATTGCTGATTTTGGATTGGCTAGATCCTTTGAAGAAGATGTGAGCCACATCAGCACTGCCATTGCCGGAACCTTGTACGTAATTTCTCTTGAATAACAAGGAATAAGTATCAAATTAAACAACACAAAACAAAAGTGATTTAACATTTGTTGTTGCTTCTACCGTTCGTGAATCCACAGGGGGTATATGGCGCCAGAGTACTTGGCTCATGGCCAGCTAACAGAAAAGGCTGATGTCTACAGTTTTGGGGTGGTTTTGCTGGAGACCATCACTGGGATACAAAACAGTAGGAGCGAAACCTCGGACTACTTGGAAAGCATAGTACTCATTGTAAGTAGCTCTTCTTCTGTTCGTTGTTTCATCGTAGTTGTATATTACAAAGAAAGAAAGAAAGAAAGAAAGAAAGAAAGGAGAGTGATAAATATGATTGATGTGGGGAAACAGACATGGAAGCATTTTGAATCGGGAACAGTGGAAGGGATATACGACCCGAACCTGATGGTTGATGAGAAGGAGGGAGGTGGGAGCATAAAAGAGGAGATATTGAGAGTGGTGCACATAGGACTTCTGTGCACTCAGGAGACTGCATCACTGCGACCCACAATGTCAAAGGTACTGCAGATGCTGATGAAGAAGGAAGACAAACTTCCAGCGCCGACCAACCCGCCTTTCATGGACGAGAGGACAATGGAACTGAACGACACCAGCGACGCCCCGTCCCAGTACAACGTCACGGAAGGTTCTTCCATGGCTGCGAGCGTCACCCATAGTTCATTCCATCCCAGATAATTGTAATTGTAGTTGTAATTGTAAAAACTGGAAAGGAATTAGAGCTCGGTTCATGAAGAAATGTGTAGACTGCGTATAATCCAATTATCAGACTGAAAGTATTCAGTCCTACAATTACAATCCCAATCCCAATCCCTCCTCACTCATCTCGGTGGTACCCAAATTAAGGCAGCAAATGACTTCTTTTCATATTCTAGAACATCCCCAGACTTCTGGCTTCAATATTTTGCCTTTTCTGGACGGCAATGCTAAATGAGCCACAGACAGGGGAACACATTTCTTCGAACTATCCTCGACGACTCGTAACAATGAAAGATCAGATTTTTTGTGGAGGGAACTAAAAATCATCAACCGTCAACAAGATAAATTGTTTGCGGGAGAAGAAACGGAGGAAGCCGCCGTTGTTGAATTTTCTAAGGCTGACTGAACAGAAGATGTTGAAATAGATACGGTCAGCGAGTGGGTCTATTTTAAACGGAAAACGTCACACTCGGTTTCTCCTTCTCCTCCTCCTCCTCCTCCTCCTCCTCCTTCCGGACCTTGACTTCTTGTCAATTACTACCATCCACTCCTATTACATCGCTTCTCGTTTTCAACAGATATATTTTAAACTTGTATATTTCGTAGCCCCCTTTCGCGCAGACTGTCACCCATTCCGCAGCTTCCCGACCTTCTTCGTCGTCGGCGGCGGCAGCAGCCTCCTTATTCAGAATCAAGCAGACAAACGGAACCCCAGATTCAATGGCGATCCACCTTGTTTATGCTCGCAAATATGTCCTATTTTCAGTCCTCGCTATTCTTCTGCTACACCTAACTTCGGCTGTGGGAAAGCCAAGAGATCAAACTGTGAAAGTGATTTGCGGGAAAGAACTAGAGCACAACACCACGGCGTACGTTCCAAATTTTTTTGGTTCAATGGAAAAAGTAAGACAACAAATCACAACTTCGGGATTTGGAACGGCGGGTACAGGAATAGGACCTGATGCCAGCTATGGGCTTGCCCAATGCCATGAAGATCTCTCATCCCACGAATGTGTGCTGTGTCATTCTCAAGCACGTACGGTGCTTCCCCAGTGCTTCCCTTTCAACGGTGGCCGTGCATTCATCGATGGCTGCTTCTTGAGGTTCGAAAACTATAGCTTTTTTGACGAATACAAAGGACCCGAAGACACTGCAGTTTGCGGGAACCTGACCCAAAATGACCCCAACTATAGAGGAGCAGCCAGGGATGCGGTGATGCAAGTAGTCAACGGTGCACCAGGCAACAAAGGCTTTGCAAAAGCTCAAGTGGCTGTGCCCGGGATGGCGAAGGAGTCTGCCGTGTATGCTCTGGGTCAGTGCTGGAGAAGTTTGAGCCACAGCTCTTGCAGCTCGTGTTTGAAAATTGCTTCTGCCTCGATGCTGCAGCAGTGTTTACCTCGATTGGAAGGGCGAGCGTTGTACACAGGCTGCTTCATGAGGTACTCAAACACAGACTTTCTGAATAAGGACATCAAAGATAGTTCCAAAGGTAAAACTGATCCCTTCGACATCAAAGATATACTCAAACACAGCCTTTCTCAAAATTGCCTGATAAATTGCAACCATGCTTTGTCTGTAGGTGGGACAATAACTGCGGGGATCATCATTTCAATTTTGAGTTCTGTTGTTGTTATGATAATCGTAGCGGTGATCGGTACTTTTATCTGGAGGCGCAGATACATTCAAAAAAAAAGGAAAGGTAAGATATGAAGTCTGATGGTTTCATCGTGGTGACCACTCCTTGGGGAGATTAGTTGACATTCTTTTTCTTCAAATGCTATGTTTTACACGTTAGGAGGTTCAGCTGATGTGAAGAAGTTAGCGAAAACTCTTCAAGATAGTAATTTGAACTTCAAGTACTCAACCCTTGAAAAAGCAACCAACAATTTCAGCCTCGATAACAAGATTGGACAAGGGGGGTTTGGCTCTGTTTATAAGGTAGTTGTTCTTCCTCTCCATCTTGACAGGACCTGCAATCTCCAATTATGACTAACAACATATCATTTACTATTCATTCCCATGCATCGCAGGGAACTCTACCTGATGGAAGAGAGATTGCTGTCAAGAGATTCTTCTTTGATAGCAGACATAGAGCAGCAGATTTCTTCAATGAAGTCAACATGATCAGCAGTGTCGAACATAAAAATCTGGTTAGGTTGCTTGGATGCAGTTGTTCTGGACCTGAAAGCCTACTTGTTTATGAATTCCTGCCAAACAAGAGTCTCGATCGCTTCATTTTTGGTAGATACTCCAGCGCTCAAAATACTTTTGATTTCAGCAATTCAAACATTTCCCCTTAACATGCTGCTAAAAAATTTACACAGGTGCCAATAACAGCAAAGCTCTTGATTGGGATAAGAGATATAACATCATCATTGGCACGGTTGAAGGTTTAATATATCTACATGAAAATCCAGAGAACAAAATCATACACAGAGATATAAAGGCCAGTAATATCTTGCTCGATCTAAAGCTTCAAGCAAAAATAGCAGATTTTGGATTAGCAAGGTCTTTCCAAGAGAACAAGAGTCACATTAGCACCGCCATTGCAGGAACTCTGTATGTTTTCTCATAAATAACATTCCTTCCTGTTAATTTGAACACATCGTTCACTATCTGAAAGCTAAGAGAAGATTTGTAGTGCCATTAACATTCCCCTTCCTTTCTTGTGTATCTAACAGAGGATATATGCCTCCCGAGTATCTAGCTTATGGTCAGCTAACAGAAAAGGTCGACGTCTATAGCTTTGGAGTGCTTTTGTTAGAAATAGTTACAGGATTCCAATACAGTGGCATCCAAGTCTCGGGAAATATTGAAAGTCTTGTCACTGCTGTAAGTTCTATGAATCCTTTCCATATCCTTCCTTGAATGTCAAATTCTACTAACAAAAATATGCCATCTCTCTTGCGCTGCCACATGGTAAAATAGATGTGGAGACATTTCCAAGCAGGCACGGTTGAGAGGCTATTTGATTCAAATCTAAATCTTCGGAATCACTACAACAAAAAAGTAAAGGACGAGGTATTGAGAGTGGTGCACATAGGGCTCTTATGCATTCAGGAGGTTCCATCTCTTCGACCAACAATGTCGAAGGTACTACGAATGCTGACCATGGAGGAGGAAGAGCACCTTCCTCCACCCACCAAACCGCCTTTCATGGATGAGATGACCATGGAACTTGATGGCTCATGCAAGGACTCGCAATATTGTTCTATTACAGAGGGCTCTTATTCAACTGCCACATTCAGCCATAGTTCTTTTCATCCAAGATAACCACCATGAGCTTAGGAACCCTTCCACCTTTCTCACCTAAAGCCCCCAACACAAAAAGATCCCCAAGAATGGGAACTGGCTTGCATTCCTCGTGTCATGGTGTCTCTTATGCACCATAAAGACCAAATGTTCCAAAAGGCCAGTTGAGCAGAATATTAACACATGATTTGATTTTGGGTTCTTCAAGACATTAGCTTCTCAAAACTCCATTATGTATACATCAACCTGATCAAGCTTCAATGTTCATTACCAAGAGTGGTAAAAATAGGCTTTGTACTCTACCGAAAGTGTATAATTCAAAATCTTCATTGTATCAAATCAGGAACGTGGTAGAGTTATGATGTCCTTAATAATACCACAGTGATAAAAGGATTAGAATTTAAATGATTTCGTTATGAGGCCTACAACTTATTACATTCCTCGTATATGCATGCATACACTGAAAACTCAATAGCATTGACAAGGAGCCGGCAGAACCTTATACATTGATTAGAAACCAAATATGGGGCATCTATTGCAATTATATACTTTTTGTTGCTTAAACTTGCATGAAACAGAGCTCCAATGAAAATGTCACAGAACTTGATGCATGAAAAGACGTGAAGCCACACACCATATTCTCACAAGTCACAAAGAGCTCAGTTCAAGAAATCTGAACTAAGATCAAGAAAAATGAACTAAGACAAAACATGAATATCAATCAACGAGATGCCACTAAATTTCCCATGAGACCTCCACTAATTTCATAATGTCTAGAGGTAGAAAACCCTACTTCTAAAGCAAGTTCTTCCAATTCCTTTCCTGTATAAAAACGAGTTTAGTCAGCGAGTAACACTGAAGGAAGATCCAAAATACATAATTATATTAAAAATAAAAAATAAAAAGTAATAAGAGAGAGAGAGAGAGAGAGCCTGCCTGTTGAAAATTCATTGATGGATTTAGATAGATATTTATAGTCCTCAGCAAGGCCGTAACCAGATGCCACTGGGACTACAATGTTGTTGATCATCCATTCCTTGCATAGAGGAAGTTCATATGAACCAAGCATAAAGAGTAGAGACTCACTAAATTTGAAGTGTGCAGTGTGCACCACATAGCAAAAACCGAGCCTTTACATAAAATTACCTGAATGGCAGCAGTAATCGGTTGTGTAGTCTTGTTAAAGTCGAGAATTGATACCTTACTACCTGGAAAGACCAATTGATTTCTCAATCAAGAAACATGTCTGCAAATCCACAATCCAAGAATCCAAGAATCCAAGAAGAAATTAAGAGAGATCATTCGTTGGAGTTGAATCACAGTGATAAATCCACACTCCAAGAACAGAAAATATACAGCAAATGACCTTGTTTCAGTACCCTAAGCATCTCCTCCAAAGCTTTCCGTTTATCCACCACATTCCGCAGACCATAGCCCATTGTAATGGCATCGAAAGTGCCGTCAGAGAATGGCAAATTAAGAGCATCACCTTCCACCCACCTTCATTTTGGCAGCAGCTGTATCAGGTTGATAATTCCACAAGCAATTACAAAAGGCAAAATTGTAATTCTTACTGCAGCAACACCCTATGGTCATAGTTCGATTTGTATAAGACAAACACTGAGTGGAGTACAGGCTATCATATTTGTTGTTCAAGTTCACTAATGCTTACTCAATGTTGTTGTAGCAGGGTTTGGATAGCGAATTTTGACGGGAAGAAGCAATACTTAGCTGCTCTTGTGAGAAATCAAGACCCGTCACCTGCGAATTAACACCAAGAATTTGATGATCAGATATCTACGGTCATCAAAATAGGCACATAATCCAACTGGGGTGTTGCCGTCGGGTTACCTTGCCATCGTATCCAACTCTCTCAGATAAGAGGAACGCTAAATCTCCGCTTCCACAGCATATATCCAACACACAGTCTCCTGCCTTTGCACTGTTCCCAAATGTTCGAAAGCTCAAAAGAAAAGAAGAAGAAGAAGAGAAAAGGTAATTCCGCATCAGAAAACGAGAACATTGCATACCCGCTCCACGAGACGGCCATTCGTTTCCAAATACGATGCTGACCCAAACTGAGTAAGTCATTCAACTAAATTCGAAGCACAAAGAAGAGTAAGGGTTCAAGAGGGGAAAAGTAAACAGGAAAGCATGGAGTAGGTTAGGGAAAAAAAAAAAAAAAGTAAGCGGACGTTATCATAGACAGGCGCAATACGGTTGAACAATGCCTGGCGGTCGGCAGCGCATTGAATCGGGCGGTGACGCAGAAAAGGCGGATTGGTTGGAGGAGGAAGACGGAGTTGGAGCGGAAGGGAGGAAGCCATGCGATTGCAGATGGCCGGAGAATTATATGGCAGCAGATTTGAGTTGGCTGCATATACCATCTGCCCCCCCGAATCCAACTTATCCGGTTCACGTTTACCAACAATTAGAAAAATAATTAAAAAGAGGGAATAAATGGCGGTTCTCAAGTGCCTTGACCGAGCCTCTGTTTATGTGGCCCTCTAAATAATTTATAAATTATTGAATGAATAGAATGGTTAAAAGAAATCCTTTTCTGCTTTCCATCAAGAAAACTAATCGCCAAATAAGAAAACAGTGGATTTAGTGGTGAACGCCTTGAATCAACCAAAACGGTTTTTTTCCCTAAATAAGCTTTCCTTACTAATTGTCAGTCTTACTCGAGGAGTTGTGATCTTGGCACACGACCCTCAAGCGCTATCTATATTTTTGACTTTGTGGCTTCATCGATTCCTAGGTGAAGTTTGTCTTTGCCAACCGAACAACCGAACATCGCTTGTGCGGGATCTAAGCTCGTTCAACCACACGGCTTGTGCGTGCATGTTTCGTCTGCGACACAACCAATTTGCCTCTACACTAAGCTAAGGCATTTAGTGCAACATCACATCTCATTTTGTCATCTTGGTTTCCAATCGACATGGCTCATATATCTTGACGCCATCCCAAGTCTCCGGGTATCGCCGACCATCATAACTCACTTGACTATGTCATCGAGAATGGGCCCACGTGTCGCTCATTTTATTGGGACATCTTGAACATCCATCCATCCAGGTTCTATTGAGGCATTGGCCCTCCCGTGCCCATGTCATGTCATTTACAGATAACATAGCAGATAATGGGTGTATAATTCAACCTTCGACATGCGGGCTAGGGCGCAATACCGATACGCCCGTGCCGCCCAATACTATCCTTGAAAAACCTCTTTCAAAGGAAGTCGCTCGAGATACTCGTCGTGCCACATTCCCCCTCTCCATGACATGCACATGTGCCACAGGGTAGCTCGCTTAGGTCACATGGTCCAGAGGTAGAGAGTTGACACCATGTCTCTCATATAGTACATTTTGAGGCATTTCCAATTCTCCCAGAGTAGACGTGATTTTAGTGAACAGTCCTACGATGTCGTGGAGCGTCTGTTCAATGTCTAATTGACACAAAATTTGGGAGCATTCATATTTCATACTTAACTCCAAAATCACATGCCCAAATCCCTTTTAGAACCTCGACTTTCGAGGTTAAGGCCGGAGAGTCTACCCAACCCTTCAACAAGCTCATATGTGATATTTATATCTACTCATTGTCTCTATCTTGCTTATGACTGGTGTATTGGATGACGCACTGTCCTCTTCGGTCGCATCATGACATTCTTCTATATTGGCCCACACGTGGTCAGATGGGTGCCTCTTGAGGATCGCCGCTTTGCTTGTCTCGATGGGAGGGTCACATTGTTCTCTCTTCGTAGTATGGTTGTGGCACTAAGTAAGTTGGGTTCTCTAAACCGCTACGATAGTACATGGATCAATTATGGTGAGGTGTTCATAGAAAAGAAGGCGTTACCAAACAAGATGGAGTCTCATTCCTAGGATTCAAACCAAGATTTAAAATTTAGATTTGGCATTTGAAAGCCTGAATACATCTTGTAACACGACCACCACACTATCTACCTACCTTATTCAAATGTGACATCGGTTCATCTATGTTTTCGTGTTCTACTTGAGAGCGTCAGATTTATTTATTCATCCAAACTTTGATTAAACACACAAGAAAGGAGTAGAAGTTTGATTAACATTCCCATAATCAATGTTGACGAAATAAGAAATATAGAAGAGAGAGAAATGCAATGGAGATATATGGTAAACTATATTGGCTTAGGAGAGGGAGTGATATGAAAGGCATTTGGACCTCATTCTTTCTCAGCACTCCAGCGTAGCGTAAGATTGTTGAGGCACATGATTAGCCAGAATGCGAGAAGGTATCCATAATTGTTAGCTTGGTTGGGGTGTAGTCCCGTTGCCTCTGCCAGCGCAATCTTATCGGCTTCCTGGGAGGATTGTTCACAAACAAAAAACACGGTTAACAAAAGTATGCGGTAAGTAGCTTAATTTTGTGGTGGAGATGATACCGTAGGATATGGGGCATCTGTAGTGAACATTCCACCACTCCAGCAGTACTTCCCTTCCCTCTTTAGGCAGCTTTCCTTTCTGCTTCTGCTTTGCGAAATGTAGCTTCAACCTACCAATGTGGCTCCACCACAAGTGTAAGCATTGGCATCATTACAAGATTGAGATAATAATAATGGTATTGAAGAAGGAGGAAGCTTCATTAAAATGGGTTGAGAGGTGTGATTTCGCAGTACGCTTCCTATCCGGACACAGATAATTTGAATTCAATGAATACAACGCAAAGCATGCCCAAATTGAATGAGAGGAGGGACCACAATTACCATGAACTCGCCCAGCTCCGGCAAGCTGGGTACCTCCGGAGGAGCTCCAACCTGACCCCAAAACAAATTAATTTCAGAACCATTTAAAAATTATTGTAAAAAATTATTTATGGAGTGTTGTGATTCAACCATTTACCTGGCATGATTTTCCTAAATTCAAAAGTACCGTTTTTTAGTAACAAAAATATGTAAAATACAAAACATGGAAAATATTAGGGTAAGCGATTCAATGATAAGCCGGCAGCAGGTGGGCATAGATAAAAATAAGAATAGAACTGTCATTGACTTAGTCAAAGCCCACGATCTCTGTCTCCCCCCAATCCTGCGGGTGCCCTGCTAATCATAAACTTGCACCAAATCAGGCTCCTCCACCTGTCCACTGTCACTCTCACTGCCCTAAAATCTCACCTTCCATAATCATTTTATGATTTCACTATGGCTGCTCCTATAATCAAACATCACCCTTCTTTTTCTAATATTAATTTGTTCTAGTTTAACAAAATTAGAAAGAAATATTTGAAATTCTATTATAGAATTTACAAGTATGATGCTTGTTCCTCTACATTTGCACGGCAATCTAATGAGTCAGCAGCCTGTATTTTCCTCAACGATGGGCAGGCAGGCATGATCACGTTGCTCAGAACCAACCTAAAACC